AAGGACGAAAAGCTGCTTTTCCCTTGCCACGAGGTCTCTTCTTTCCAACGCCCCCTGCCCTTCCGCCAACGGCAGGAGGCTCAAGTGTTAAAAAACGAGGATGAGATACAAAATTCCGAAAAACCGTTACAAAAGGCTTGACTCGAGGGTCATTCATTGGGACCCGCATTTGGCTGAGTACTGAAAGGCCTTCATTCAAGTAAATTCTAGCGCTCCGTTGAGTCTGCCACCTCCCTTGGACTAGTATTTTGTCCAGGTTTTGGTGTTTTTGAAACCAAAACGTGGCGCCCCCTCGCCATAGCGAGTAGGGCCTGAACGCAAACTCTTGCAACTTCAGTTCCTCGAGGCACTGATTAAAGAGCGCCCGCCATTTCGGCGGTGATGACGTCAACTTCGTGCTGGGAGTAGCAACAAGTTTCCATGCTTTAAGCACGCGTACCGCAGGTTCAAAACCAAGGACCACACTTTCGGCAGCTCCGTGCCGTTTGCCGCCCTTCGTGAGGCCCAGGCTTATCAAAGCTTGTGTGGCAGACAGCCCGCACTCGATGTGCGACGAAATGACTCCAAGAATTTCTCCTGTCCTCAACATGGTGTAAAAACCAATAAGGAGGGAGACCCCGAAAGAGTACCAACCATGGAAAAAGGCCCACCCGCACATCGCATGGACGATATGCTCGGGCAATGGTGGAGCCCGCGATGGAATCTCATTGGTCTGCCATGTCTTCAGGAGCCTCCAGGCTGCCGGCATGCGAGTGCGCAAGCTCGGTTGCAGGTCCTGTAATCCTGCTAGTGTGTCACAGGCCAGGCCACGCCCTTGGCCTGTGCACCAGAGGTGCTCCAAGTATTCACAAACGAGAGGGTCAACCTTGTCTTTATTAGTTGGTAAAGTTAGGCTCTCTGCTTGCAGAAAAGTGAGGAATTGGTCGACGGCCTTGTCATAACGACGTCGGGTGGCTGGCTGCACGGTCAACTGGCGCAATGTACCAAGTCTTTGACGGATTTTTGCTCTCTCTTCTTGTGTTCCACCTTCCAAGACACGCTTAGGCATGCTTCAGGCGCTTTTTCACTCGACTCCCCCACCGACTTGGCTTGTCAGCAGGATTGGAGTCGGTATGCACGTAACCCCACAAGAACTGGGAACTGGAACACAAAAGTAGAGAGCTAATCCGCGCCATAGAGCTCCGGAGCTTCCTGGAGCTGGTCCGCCCTCTCGTGAGAGCGTGCAGGCACACCAATGAATCCGTCAAATGCAACATGCGAAAACCACAATGACCCTTTTGCTCAACCCTCCAGCGAACCGTATTCAGGATGGCACGCAACTCGAGCGAGTTGATGTGCTCCTTGCCCCGGGTCCACCTCCAACCTGAGACGACCTTCCAACGCCAGAGGCGCGACGGAACCGAGGCACGCAACCGGTGAAAACGGACCAGCTGGGTGCTAGGAGTGCTGAGCAGGATGTCCTCCCCCTT